GTCCCTCCCCATTTCCTTGTCCTTACCCCCTTCCCCATTTCATTGTCCCTGCCCCCTTCCTTTTCCCTGCCCCCTTCCCTGTCCCTCCCCATTTCCTTATACCCCCTTCCCTGTCCCTCCCCATTTCCTTATACCCCCTTCCCTGTCCCTCCCCTGTCCCTCCCCATTTCCTTGTCCCTACCCCCTTGTCCATCCCCTCTTCCTTGTCCCCTTTGATATGCACTGTATGTAGTAAAATAGATCTTATGTCATTAATAAAATACATTAAAAATTGATCTATTGAGATGTATGACTTGACTAGGTGTGAATTCTGTAAGAAATTCTGAGTACAGTAGATATTCTCACAATGCATAATGCAGGTCCCTGACTTTTTCTATGCATTGTGAGATTTATGCAAGATGAAATATGTCACAAAATGTGACTATTCGTGACCTCAGCCAAAAAATGTCATGCTTCGAAATGTCCTTTATGTAGTGAGACGAAAACTGGAAAGACTGGATATTTACAGGCTATCGACATCCATGGGAGAGAGGTTACTACTGAAAAAAGAGTTGAGAGTAGTTTGTCAGGCTGATTTCACTTGAACAACATGAAGATGAGCCCTCAATTTGCGCAATTGTTGTTGCAAAAGCAGTGTTGACACGCCGCGAGCCTCTGAGTGGATGACACACCAAATGCTTGCACAGCTCCATCCCCTCCGCGAGGTGCATAGGGCTTGTGCCCATCTCGAGGTTTCTGCTTCTTCTCCTCAGCAGCTGGCATAGAATGATAGAAAAGTGTTGGCAAAATTGGATACTACTCTTGAGCAGTGTATTCGTGGCACACAGGGTATATTAGGGTAGACTTAGGTCCTGAAAAACTCAGGTACAATGAGGTGAACAGGTAAATACCCGGTAAATCTGTAGATCTGGTAATGCATAATGCCAAAATATGATATGCATTATTCGATATGACGTTCCATGCATAAATCCCCGCGTACCAAGTTGGTCCCCTGAAAATGTCATGCATTATGAGATTTATGCATTACGAGTATATGCATTGTGAGAATATCTACTGTATTGAGGAGTTGCATCAATGCAGATTAAGTCACCTGACCTCTAGCTCAGTGCTGATCCATTCTGATTGTAGAAACTCTGATCAGTGCTGATCAGAGCATGTGGGGGAGGGTAAAGTACTGCTATTTATGGTGGATTGTGGTCTTGTTCAACTGGAATCCGCTGGATTCTGGTCCCATTCCACCGGATTCCGCTGGAATGACCGGAGTCCAACAGGAATAGGTAGGGCACAGTAAAGTACTGACTTTTTGGACTACAAAAGTTTGTAGTGTGTGCTTTTTTCATTACAAAGGCTTGTAGTGTCCGCTTTTTTCATTACAAAAGTTTGTGGTCTGCTTTTCTGATATGTTGTAGTCTCCTATTATCTATGTAGGTATATGGGGGTAGACCTGATGTTTCAGGCAAACTGACTGCAGCCAAACAGCTGGAGGCTTGTAGTCTGCTTTTCTGATATTCTCCTTGTATCTATCTAGGTAGATGGGGATATAGCTCAATGTTTCAGAGCAACTGACTTTAACCAAATAGCCATCATTCAGCCTTTGTCCCCTCCAGGGAATTATATGATGATGAAATACAAAGTGAGAAGAGGTTACACTGAGATGTCAGAATTCATGCCCAGGTTGTGTTTTAACTGAGCACAAAGTGCTCTGACTTTCCCTTTGACCAGCTTCAGTCATGTTCTCATCATATTCAACATTCTTTCCATATATCTGGGGACTCAACTATGTCTGACCATAGCCAACCTTAACATGTCCTCTCTTAAGACAATCTCATTGTAGACTGTCCTCCCTTTCTATTTCATCATCAGCTAGCTGCCACTACCTGCCCATTCCAATAGTTAGTCTTGAATGTAATTCCTTAGAGAGTACAAAGTGTAAATGATTTGCCGGCTGCTTGGCTGCAGTCAGTTTGCCTGAAATATCAGGTCTACCCCCATATACCTACATAGATAATAAGATATCAGAAAAGCAGACCACAAACTTTTGTAATGAAAAAAGCGGACACTACAAACTTTTATAATGAAAAAAGCGCACTATACAGGCCTTTGTAATGAAAAAAGCGAAGACTACAAACTTTTGTAGTCCAAAAAGCGCACACTACAAACTTTTGTAGTCTAAAAAAGCGGAGACTACAAACTGAAGTGGTATTATGTAATGACTTTCCCAATTGGAAATTCACACTGGATCCTGAGAACAGCACCTCAACCATCAAACAACATGGTATGGTATGGGAGTGGTATGGTATAAGGGTGCAATACCATGGTATGGTATGGGGGTGCAATACCATGGTATGGGGTGTTGTAAGCAAATCTCTGTAT